AATTGTTTTATTAGAAGAACTTCTAAAGATGTTTGGAAACTTGACTCGAAGCATTAGAGTCTACATTTTATCAAAGATACAAATACAAATAAGACCCTGTCTTCATGGAAGTCAACCTTACAGGAGAGACAGGCATGTCCACAAGCAATCAGCGTGTAGTGATATAACAGAGCTGCTACAAATAATACAACATCAAGAGAAGTCAAAGGGACAACGTGATAGTTTTAGCTAGATCACAATGAAGAAGCGTTTTAGCAGGCATTCAAGAAAGTAACAATTATTTCAAGTAGAGATAAATACACAAATAGGAAAGGCGCCAAGAAATGAATACACGTGGCATATTCAGGGAAGGACGCAGTGATCTAGGTGTGACGGAACAACAGCTAGAAATAAGATGGGAGCTCCTCTAACATTCTACAAGGATGGTCAGACACTGAAGGATTTTAAGGAGAAGAGTGGAAAATAATATTGATGGTTAACAAAGAAAAGATTAGTGATAGTAAGAGGCTGGAGGCTACTGAAACAGATGAGGTAAGGAAAGGTGACTGGGGTTCTTAATCATTTTTGTGCCATGGACTGCTTGGACAGTCTGGGAAAGCCTGCAGACTCTTCCTCTGAATAATGCTTATAAATATATAAAATATAATACATAGAATTAAAAGAAATCAATTATATTATAGTTATTGTTACATTTAAAAATTAAGTTTTGCTATAATAATATATGTAATAAATACTTAAAATAATTAATAGTACATCATATACAGTAATTCCAAAGATATGATGAGCATAAACAATATTCAAAGTATATTTCAGTAACTCAAAACATTTTAAGATACATAGTTCATATGTCTGTGATATAAAACATCTGCATTTTTATTGGTGACAATGTCACAAGCACTACTAATATTACTGTCTTGTGTTGTCTATAGTCATAATGAAAGGAAATACTTTTCATTAGAGGAGAGCAAACATAAAGATGTAAGTTTTCTTTTGTATCCATGTCCATGGATCTTAAGTTAAGAACCCCTCACATAGACTAAGGTCAAGGCAATATGAAAGGAAATAAAAAAAATATTTAGAGAGAATATATTTCAAATAAATAAACGTCCCCTGTTATGTAAAATAATGGCAAGTAGATAAAATAATCGTAACCTACACTGGACTGATTCCAGAGCATAAAAAGGAAATATCCCTATATCAACTGTTATTTAACAGTTTCCTTTACTTTGCTAAAAAGAGCACAAACAACGGTAATACCACCAAGCATGATTCATTTTCAAGATGAATCCCTCCCTGTTCAAAGTTTACATTGTTTTTGACCAGCATCAGACTGTTTATCCACACAAACTGTAAATACATCCTTTTTAGAACTAACCAACAACAATGCCCATTTTGTTTTGACATGTGAAATACAAAGAGAACATGAAGAAAAATGACCATCACTCTAATGTCAGTGCTTTAAAAACTATGCAGCAGAGTAATGGGGTGAAATTCCAGCATAATAAAATTTTAATAAGTGTTATCAGGAGGAAAATGCCTTCTGAAATTCCCTGCTTGCAAAAGAGAACGTTAAGCATAGCAACACTGTCAAACAGTCTATAATCTCTCTGAGATGTCTTCCGATAGCTTTATGCAAAAATATGAAGAGAACTGTGAGCAATAAAGCTGAGAAAAATAGTATATTTTGACTCAGAAATTCAAGTATTGCTCTTCAACTATTTGTTCTTTTATAAATGACAACTCCTTAATTGATAGGCACTTTGCACTCTTCAGCAAAAATATATTCAAAAAAATATGTTCACAGTCATTTAATATATATCTTTTTTTCCCCTGTACTAGAAGGTACACAAAGCAGAGATGACAGTTTTTGGGTACATTCTGCCCAAGCCTAGCCTGGAACCTGGTATGTAGTATGCTTAATAGGGAAGAAAGAATAGGAAGAAAAGAGAAGCTCAAAAGAATACTCTCTGAAGATGAATAAATGTAAGAACTATAAATACTAATTTTTCTACAAATATATCTGGTTCTCTGGTCACCTAGCTACCTCACATGCACACTGAATGCCTTTCCATCAAGTGTTTAGCAAAATTTAAGTTAAAAAAAAAAATCAACACAAAGAGAAAGGTTCTCAAATTAGTGATACTATCACCTAACTACATGACAAAATTTGCATACCAAAATATGTAATTATTTAAGTAAAATTTATTCCAAATGAAAACAAAATTACAAATATCACATAGCTTTCAACTTCTTTTGAAATTTTAAATACTTTTTTAAATGGCCGTTTTATACCTGGAACTGATTCTGAAAGACTTTCTAACTTAAGTTAAATACACATGAATAACAGTGTTATAAAAATAATAGAACCAGAATATAAAATATCATGTGAGGAGAAAACAGAGCTCCCAAATTTTTTTATTTTAATTTGTTTTTCTTTATTGATTTCAGAGATAGAAACATTGATGAGAGTGAACATTGACTGGCCCCCTCCTGCACGTCCCCCACTGGGGATTGGGCCCACAAACCTGGGCATGTGCCTTGACCAGGAATTGAACCGGTGATCTCTTGGTGCATGGGTCAATGCTCAACCACTGAGTACATCGGCCAGGGGAGGCCCCAAATTTTTTTAGTTACAATGCAATTTCTCCCTGGGAATTCCATTTACCTATGTTTTTCAGGCTATTTTAAAACTTCCTATGGAAACTCCATACCTAGAATTGGCTAAGTATTACAAAGGGATATGTGTTAAAGCAAAAGCCAAAACAAATAAAGATGGGTGTATTGCCAAAGAATTGCAAAGAAGTACTCAAAGTAATACCTGTACACACTTGGATATATTAGCACCATTACTAAAGGGTGGAAAGAACTCAAATGTCCATCAGTGGATGAATGAAGGAAAAATTGTGGTATATACATACAATGGAATATTATGCAGTCATATAAAATAATGAAGTACTGATACATATTACAATGTGGCTACACCTCAAAAACATTGTACTAGGAAAAGAGCCAGAAATAGAAGGTCTCATATTGAATGATGGAAGTTATATGCAATATCTAGAACAGGTAAATGCATAGAGATAGAAAGCAGATTGGTAGTGACAAGGGGCTTGGGAAGAGAGGAACTAGGAATAACTGTTGAATGAACGTTCAGTGTTCTTCTCAGATAAAGAAAATGTTTTTGAACTAGGTAGAAGTAATGGTTGCACAACTGAATTGTTAACATTTTAATGGTTAATTTTATGTTATATGAATTTCAGACCAATTAAATATTGTTTTCTGTAGTAACCATAATCTCTCTATATATAATTCCCTATTCTTAAAAACTTAAAGCAGTCATCTGTCAAGGAGAATCTCCGATGCTGTAGAAAAAGAAAAAATGTCATCTAATGTCAACAAATATTTTCTGTCCTGGTGGGAGTGAAATGGTATAGCTACTCGGGTATTAACTACCAAGATCAAGGTTTACATACATTATAACCCAGCATTTCCATTTAAAAATGAGTACATATTTGAACCAAGTACAGAAATTTTCACTGCATCATTATACATTATAACCCCACACTGGAAAATACCCAAATATACATCAACAACAGGAGAAAGGATAAATAAACAAGTAGGAGTATAATTGTACAATGGAATATGTAGGAGCAGTGGGAATAAATTAAGTAAACCTATATAGGAGTACATGAATTAATCTCACATACATGATGATAAAGAAGCTGAATATACCAAAATATACATACTCTGTAATTCCATTTCTATGAAAGTGAACAACAGTATTTAAGGATACTTCCTGAGGAGAAAACTATTTTTAAAAAGTAAGAAAATGAGCCCTGGCCAGTTTGGCTCTGCGGTCCAGAGAGACCCGGGTTCAGTTCCCACTAAGCGCGCATACCTTGGTTGCAGTTTGTCCCGGGCTCTGGTTGGGTCGTGCGGGTGGCAGCCACTCGATGGGTCCCTTTCACGTTGATGTTTCTCTCTCTCTCTCTCTCTCTCTCTCTCTTCCTCTCTCTCCCTCCTACTCTATCTGAACAGAAAACGGAAAAATGTCCTCATGAGGATAAAAAATAAAAAAATAAAAATATAAAGTAAGAAAATGAGCCCTGGCCAGTTTGGTTCAACAGTTAGAACATCAGCTCTCAGACCAAAGAGTTGTGGATTTGATTCTGATCAAGGGCACATACCTCGGATGCGGTTTGCCCCTGGCCCTGGTTGGGGTCATATGGGAGGCAACCAAGCGATGTGTCTCTCTCACATCAATGTTTCTCTCTCTGTCTTTCTCTCTCTACCCCTCGCTCCTGCTCTATCTGAAAATAAATGGAAAAATATCCTCAGGTGAGGATTTTTTGAAAAGTAAGAAAATGAGTACCATAAAGTCAGATTCATGGTTGTTTTTTTTATGGAAAAGGAGCACAAAAGGGGAGTTCTAGTAATGCTTTATTTATTGGTTGGGGTGACAGTAACACAATTATTTGCTGTAAGATGAATTATTGAGCTATGCAATTTTTTTGTTTTTCCTACATATATTGGTAGAAACGCCACAGAGATATATTTTAAAATAAAATACAAATGCTGCTCTAAAATACATATGACTCATGACCATTCTTCTCCAACAATGAATATGTAATGAACTATATATAATGTTGGCTTTTGTTAAAGACGAAGTATTCTGGAAAAGATCTATGCATATGAGATTCAATATCTAAATGTATTAATATAATCTCAAATATCATAGTCTATAAAAATGCCAGAAGGAAGCCCTTACATATTGAAAATGTTAGGGAAGTAAAGTAGCATGATAAAGACTGCCATTACTCTAAGGCTTCAATTAATTAAATTATTTAATAAATTAAGACTGTCCCAAGATGAGCCTAAGACCTTGTCTTTGCATGAACAGATTAGGAAAGTGGATTTATTTTTGCCCCAGAGATTGAAAATTAAAGATAAAGGGAAGTAGGACAGTAGGGTTCGGTGGAGAGGAAGAAAATGAGGTTTACCATGCAGGGGCGATCCAGAAGGACTGCTTGATAGACCTGGAACAGGGCTACAGCGACCTCCTTGCTTGGATGTCAGTTCTTGTTCAATCTCCTCCAGCCCCGCACTTTTCTGGAAACGGCTCATACGATTCACAACTCGTGGAGACATGTGTGTTCGAACGCAAGGCTGGCCACCATAAGGGTTGATTGGAAAAACATGGGACGTACCCCGAAGCGTACTGACCACAACCCAGCGACAGTCATGGCTGAAGCAGATGTCTTGTACCTAGAAATGAGATAAGGGAAACACACATGAATTGAAACCACTTGCATTGATCTAAGAGCATCATACACACATCACCAAATATGAACAGAAATGTGTATCTTGTTACCAAATTTACCTAAGATCAAATCATACATAAAAAATTTTATTCTACAGATGAGTTTCATGATGAATAGTGATCAAAACGCCATATCGGGGATTTGATAAGATTTAGAATAGGAAATTATATCTCTTGCTGCATACAGTGTCAAGTCAGAAAACAGGACCTCCATAGTTGTACTCTATAGAGCTATAAGAAAAGATATATGAGTCAAGGTATCTGCCTTCTAAAAAGCAAAGACTAGTTAAAATAAAAATATACATCACACAACACCAAGGAGGAAATTAATCCAATTATTTGCTCAGCAGATATTCATTGGGTACCATGCTAATAGGTACTAACAACAAAGAGGTAAATAAGCAATGATTCTTGGGCTCATAGCTTACCAAGAAGAAAAGACATATAAGAAATTTTTGAAAATATAATATATAAAAGTGAAGTAACTATCTTATGCATAGGGCACAGAGGTAACAAAAAGAAAGAGAAATATAAAATCTCCTGGTGAGACGTGAAAAGGAGTTGGTGAACGTGGATGGTTAGAAGTGGCCCCAAAACATTATCCTAATGAGTGTAGATTATGAAATTGATTTTTTTTTTTTTTTTAATCCTCACCCGAGGACATTTTTCCATTTTTTGTTCAGGTAGAGTGGGAGGGAGAGAGAGGAACAGAGAGAGAGAGAAACATCGACGTGAAAGGAACACATCAAGTGGTTGCCACCCACACGACCAACCAGGGCCAGGGACAAACTGCAACCGAGGTACATGCCCTTAGCGGGAACCGAGCTCGGGTCTCTCGGGATTGCAGGCCGATGCTCTAACCGCTGAGCCAAACCAGCCAGGGCATGAAATTGATTTTTGAAGTAGGATACACTTACAAAGACAAGAGAGAACGACATTCCAACTGAAATATATCAGATATTCCATTTTAGACACAAATGCCTAGATATAAAATGGAAATGATGGGCAAGCAGTCCAGTATATCAGAAACAACAGAGTCAGCAAAAGCGAGAGCAGGAGGTGCTTGCATTTTAAGAAATAATGCAGTCAAGCTTTCAATTTTGGAAGGATAATTCTGGGAGTGAAATCTCAGGGAGTGGATCTGCAGTGGAGATGAAGATAGCTGAAGGAAAACGAGGCAGAAGCTCCCTCGACTGCCAGGAATCCAGGTTCCTAAGGAGAGGTGGGATGCACCAGAGAAAAGTCCCTAAAATACTCTGATAACCCAAATGCCCACCAGGGGATGAATTTGTAGAAAGATGCAATACATACACAATGTAGTATTAGTCAGCCTTGAGAAAGAGGATATCCTGCCATTGGTGGCATGGATGAACCTTGAGCACAGAATGCTAAGCAAGATAAATCAGAGAAAGATAATTACTGTATGATATCACTTATATGTGGATTCTTTTTTTTTTTTTTAATCAAACCTGTGAAAAAAAGAGGGTAAAATGGCAGCTACCAGGGAATAGGAGGAGGAGATAAGGCTGACAGTTTTTAAGGCTATGAACTTGTGATGCACACTAAATAAGCCAGAGTTCTAATGCACAGTATAATGAATATAGAAAATAACAGTGAACTATTATTATGTAATGGGAGAAACATGGCTACAATGGCAATCACATCAAAGTAACATGCTGTCCAATACTCTAATGAGAACACATAAGTTATGTATCGGCAGTGATTGGCAATCACTGCGCATCACATGGTCTCTGTTGGCTGTTGCAACTACTCAGCTCTGCCTTTCTCATGTCAAAGCAGCCATAGAAAACATGTAAATCAATGAGCACAGCTACATTTTTTTAAAAAACTTTATTTACTAAAACAAGTGGCTGGCCACAGATTTATCTAGGGAAAGTTAGTCACTAATTTTCATGACATTTATCTGGCGCTGAATACAGAAGTTGCAGTATTTTCAAATGAGCAAACTGAAATGACCAGTTTTATCTGATACCAGGCTAATGGTGACAACTTGAACAAAATGTCTCTATTTACTTCTATGATTGTACACTTGAAAAAAAAGCCAAGCCCTGGCCGGTTTGGCTCAGCGGTTAGAGCGTCAGCCTGCAGACCAGAGAGGCCTGGGTTCGGTTCCCGCTAAGGGCATGTACCTCGCTTGCTGTTTGTCCCCGGCCCCGGTTGGGTCGTGTGGGTGGCAACCACTTGATGTGTCTCTGTCACATCAATGTTTCTCTCTCGTCCTCCCTCTCTCCCTTCCGCTCTATCTAAAGATGAATGCAAAAATGTCCTCGGGTGCGCCCTGGCCGGTTTTGCTCAGTGGTTAGAGCATCGGCCTACGGTCCGGAGAGACCCGGGTTCGGAGAGACCCGGGTTCGGTTCCCGCTAAGGGCACGTACCTTGGTTGCAGTTTCTCCCCGGCTCTGGTTGGGTCATGCGGGTGGCAGCCACTCGATGTGTCCCTTTCACGTCGATGTTTCTTTCTCTCTCTCTCTCTCTCCCCCTCCCACTCTATATGAATAAAAAATGGAAAATGTCCTCGGGTGAGGATTAAAAAGAAAAAAAATGTCTTCGGGTGAGAATTTAAAAAAAAAAAAAAAAGCCAAGTAAAATTCAATACCATTTTAACTATTTTTTAAGCATACCGCTAAAAGGAAGGCAAGTCATAGATACTTAAGATTTTTCTACATTGACTTAATAATAAACTAAAATAATTGTCCATGTTAATTTGTATTAGTTTCAAGTACACAACATAGTAGTTAGATAAACATATACTTTAAAAAGTATATGTGGCAGGTTTGGCTCAGCAGTTCAGAGTATTGGCCCACGGACCGAAGGGTCACAAGTTTGATTCCTGGTCAAGGGCAGGATCGTATAGAAGGCAGCCAATCAATGTCTGTCTGTCTGTCTGTCTCTCCCCCCACCCCTCCCTTCCATTCTACCAGAAAATCAATGGAAAAATATCCTTGGGTGAGGATTAACAAAAAATATAAATAAATAAATGAATAAATAACTGGTGTCCCCCCAATATTCCAGTACCCACCTGGCACCATTGATAGTTATTACAATATTATTGACTATATTCTCTATGCTGTACTTTATATCCCCAGGGAGACTGGATAAAAATAGATGAAAGCATTAAGAAATAATTGAAAAATAAATAATAACAACTTTTTTTTTTTTTACCACATAAAACAACAAACAAACAGTGCTTTTGAAAGAAGAACCCAGACAATGTTAAATTATGGTAGAATATAAGATGTATGTGGGTGGGATTTAACAGAAAAAAATGTCTGTATGCCTGTGTACATATATGAATATACTAGCTTCATTATAAAACTTCTCTAGCAGTCAAAAAAGCCAACTTTCCCAAATATTAGATCTTCAAATAGCCTAAATTCAGATTAAAATCTTGACTAATATTCCAGAAATGCTCCACAAACAAAATTTATAAGTATTCATCAAAGTACAAGTTTCTATAAGAGCCTGAAACCTTTAAAATAAAATTTAAAAAATTAGTCTGATATACCAAGACAAGATACTTCATTGCTAGGCTATTGCAATACAGGGATAAACCCGAATTAAATCACATGCCTGTCTATTTCAATTACTTTGATAAACAACACATTAACATTATAATTAAAAAAATCTCCTGAGAGCTGGTAAATTTAACTCCCAGGAATTCCAGAATTATGAATAAATAGCCATTCCACAAATGTTCTACCTCTGTACTGTGCCTATGATAACTTTCAACTAAACTGACTTTAAGAAAAGCAAGAAAAAGGGAAGGGGCAGGACAAAGAAAAGTGTAAATAGCAAAACAAGAGAAAAGAAACACAGTACCAGACAAATTTAATATCATAAGAGCAAATGCATTAACACACACCAGAATAAAATATATAAAGAAAAACATCTTTAGGCTTATTGAGTAATTTATGTTCCATCACGGTGGAACTTGAAGCGTGTTATCTAAAACCCTTTTCCAAAACACTTATAATCAAGACCACTTCCTGATCTGTCAATGAAAAGGAGTTTCCTCCTTTCATTTTAAGAATACTTCTGATATGAGGTGGTGCTAACAAATCAGTATCAAGGCAGGAAGACAGAATTCCACCTAAATGCTTACTTAGAAAACTGCTGTTAGAGCACTGAGTCTGCTCTATGACCTTGAACACACATCAGGGACATAAATGAGCAGCGAATGGTCGCTAAAGATATTAGCTGTCAAGAGACTAGAGAAATTTTAATCCTTTAAATAACATTACAGGAGATAACAAGCCATCTACCCACAAAATACAAGATGATATAACTGTTGGTATTATCAAGCAAGCTGGGTGGTTTTTCATACCTCATTAAAAACAAGAAACACTAGACATAATGGCACAATAGCAATAAGAAGATGACATCATCTGCATTATTTTTTAGACTTCAACTTTAGAATATTTCTAGTTAAGATATTCTCATCACAAAACAGGAGAGCTATATGAGAGTTGTATGTCTGATTTAGTAATAAGTATTAAATATGGCAAATAACACTGACCAGGCCAGACAATTGTTATAATTTTTTGTAACATTGTTCTACTAACGAGAGGTATGGAATCCTTCTTGTATAAGATAGTATTTTGCTTATTTGGGACTCCAAGCTAGTATTATCATCATCAAGTAGATTCCAATGCTCATCTGTAAAAACCATTCTTAGCTTGTGAGATGTCAAAAAACAGACACTTGCTGACCCATTTTATATCATGATCATGTGGTAAATGTAGACTTTTTGTGGCATGATAGACCTCAAAGCAGAAAATACCTCGGAATTCTAAAGACAAAGTCAAAAACACGGTAAGACTCTCAGATCAATCAATATTATTCTTATAGTTTCCCAGACACTCCACAGTATGGAGAGAAAACACTGTACACAAAGTCCATGCTGGCTCACTTCACATCTAGGGTT